CAGAGGTTCCTACCACAGGACTAACTCGTGCAAACACACTTCGCTTAGTACTTGGCACACAGTAGGGACTTGATGAAAGTTCTAAAGCATCCCTGCATCCCTCTCCCTCTGTCTACAGGCGGAGCAGCCAGTGCAGCTGTTGCTCTGCTCCTGAGAAATAACTTAGAACAGATCGTCCGCAGTCCCTCTCAGCAGCTGTACTTCCTGCATGCTGAAGAGCTTCACGGTAAGACGCTCCCGTCCCAGATGAACCCGCCCGCCCTACCAGGAACACCCCCAGGCAGGGAAGGGAGCCAAGATACGGCCCCTGATTCAGAGGGACCCCCACCCTGCCCTTCTGCCCAAAGGCCTGCCCAGCAGGCCAGCTGACAGGCAAATGGGGGGGGGGGGAGTTTCAGAGTCACAGAAGGGGGTTACATACCCCTGCAGCCACCCCCCAACCCAGGGGCCTGCAGAAGCTTCTGGAAAGAGGCAAATATCAGAGGCAGGAAGCCTGCCTGCCAGACTCCTGTCTCTGCCTCTCTCGATGGCTCTCTCTCAAACCTACTATCTGTCTCTCTCCCTGAGACCCCTTGACCCCCCAGCCCTAGGCTGGAAGTTCCTTTACAAATCACTGGGACCATCCCCATCGTATAGGTGAGAACAAGAGGCCCCTGGGAGCGGGAGTGTACCCCAGGTCACGCACAGGTCAGTGTCCAAGCAGGAAGTGGGGCCATTCCCTGAAGGACTCGCCAAGTGCATCAATGAGCCCACATGCCATTCGGTTATGGGACACGGGTCCTCCGAGAAGGGTGCTGCATCTCCCTCCCTGTCGCTGACGCTGGCCAGTCCTCCAGCCTCATATGGCTGTGGCAGGGGAGGGGTGAGGGGGGACCTGAGACCCTATGGAAATGCGTCTTCCCTCGAGACCGGGCTTGAGTCAGACAGGCTGGGTCTGGTCCAGCTTGGGCACCGGCTCCTACGTGACCTTGGGCCAGGCGCCAGGAGGGCAGGGTGAGGGTGCGACCAGCTCCAGTCCTGGCTCCATCCCCATGGCAGAGGGTCCTGCATACCTCCCGGTGCCCCGAGCTTCCCCGGTAGCTCTGCAGGCCCTCACTCCCGTGTGGGTGCTCTGCCGGGACCTCCCTGAGCCAGCAGGATGTGAGCAGACACAGAACCAGCAGTGGCTTCAAACGAGCTCGTGCATCAGGGCCGCTTCCTTTCTATGCCTCTCTGCCATCCCCATGGGATGGGGCCCGGGTGAGCCTGCTGGAGGACGAGGGACCCGTGGAGCAGAGCATCCCAGCCTGGGCCATCCTAGGTGAGCTGACACCAGCCGACACCCAGGCACACCAGGGAGCCCGCCAAGATCATCAGGGCACCCTGAGCCCCTGAACCCCACAGCATGTGAGAAACCGTGCTCGCTGCTGTGTGGTTATTTGTTACCCAGCATCGCAGGAATTGCCGCCTGCTCTGAGACGCGCCGTCACATCCCCTCAAGCAACTGAAGCTTAGAGAGGCTGAGGTCTTGCTCGAGGTCACCCTGGGAGCGGGTTCAAGTCCAGAAGCTCTCCTGGGCCCACCATGCGCTGGCCTGGCAGACAGCTGAGTCAGTCCCAGTCTGCCCTCGGGAAGCCCTAGGTCAGTGAGGGGACACGGGGAAGCACAGCTCTCTGTATTCAAAGTGTAGGGAGAAGGGGCAGTTGTGGAAGGATGAGATCAGCTTGTGCAGCTGGAGAATGAGGTGGCAGGGTCTTCTTGGTCCACTCTGGCTGCACGGTCACCACCACCACCCCCATTCACAGCCCATGAAACCCTGTGACACCACCAGTGCCGGTGAATTTCACCCTTTCAGAGCTGAGCTGCCGCCAACCCCTTCCATCCGATCCGTCAGACACTGGCAAAGGAAAAGCAGCCATATACAGACAGCTGCCATGTGCCAGGCACACCACATCCACGCCCTCCTGAGCTCTCCACAAACCCACAAGCAGAGGGTACTAGCACCCTCCTTCAGAGATGAGCAACCACAGCACAGAGAGGGTCAGGATCGCACCCAAGGCCACACAGCCTAGAGGAGGCGGAGGCGGGATTTGAATCAAGTCTGTGAGATTCCAAAGGTTGAGAGCGACCCCTCAGAGGGAAAGGCCTGGTCCTTACGGGATGGCCTTGGCCGATGGACATCCACACCCTGCCACAGCCCAAAGGCCCTGGAAACGCCATCCTCAGAGAAGTGTTTGCACTGGCTCGCGGCCAGCAGCCCAGCACTCGGCCCGCTCCGCCCGGGGTTAGCTGGCTTCTCCACCAAGGGGAAGGCACCGTGGAGTTTATCCCTCCCGCCATGTTCCCTCTGCTTGTCAGCAACCACCTTTCCCCACACAGTGTGAAATCCCAAAAGCAAAGCTTTATTATGCCCGTGATGCTGAGGCTCGACCCTCTGCCCACCCCCCCCACCCCCGCCCAGTGCTGGAATCTTCTCCTGAGACCTGCAGACACCTCCAACTCAGTGTGTCCTCAAAGACCACAGCTGACCTCCTCTTCCCCAGGGCTCCCATCAAACTCAGAGGCCACATATCCCCTCCTCCCAGCCTCCCCCCGCCCAGTTCCCCTCCCTCCTCGGGTAGGCCCCTTCTGTCCCCAGAGTACGCTGATTGGACATCTCCTGTTAATCACTGAGTGTGAGCTTTGGAGTCAGACATTAGCTACGTGTTCCTAGGTAAATCACCTCTCTGAGCCTCAGTTTTCTCATCTATAAAATGGGAGTAATAAAAGTTCCTACCTCATTAAAAGGTGGGGTTGAATGATCTGCCCATTTCATAGATGATGAGATGGAGGCACAGAGAGTTCAGGCAACTTGCCCAAGATCACACCCCTTGGCCATGGTAGAGTGACACAGAGGCTGCTGTGACACACAGAGCCACACAGACCCTGCTTTCCCTGAGCCTTCGCGTCTCCCACCAGCTCCTGAAGGTCTCGTCGAAGACAAGGGGCCTTGCCCACGAGCACACCTACCCCTCCCAGGGACCTGGCTGGGCTGGGGGGCTCCTGGAGGGCAGACACCATGCCTAACTCACTGTGCACCCAGACCCCTCTGGGAGCCTGGCATGGACCAGGGCTTGGACTGGGGGCAGGGGGCGGGGCCCCAAAACAGTTCAGGAGGGCACTCTCACCACAAGACAGCCGGGTCTGTGGCGAGCCATCCCCGGAGAGCACACTGCTACCCTCGCCGCTTTACTGGCTGTCTCTGAGCCCTCAGCAATGCCGGGCAAGTGTCCCTGTCTGCTCTGAGCTCCTCGACGCTGGCAGCCACGAGCCTCATGGCATTTAATTTGCACACAGCCCTGGGGTGTCTGCACCATGGTGATCCCCGGATTCAGAGACCCAGGCTGGCTCGCCTCAGAAGCTGTATTGCTGGGATGCCGACCAGCACGGCCACACCCACAGGCGCACATTTCGGGCAGCTGGACTGTCACTTTTGTCTTCTGGACATTGGGAGTCATAGCCAATTGGGTTTAACCACCAGGATATTCAAGGCAAAATCTGTGATGGGTCCATGGCCCATGTGGAGGATGCTGAGGCTGCCCTGGGTCCCCAGTGGGGAGTGGGTCCTTCCTCTTGTTTGCACTTTTTCTTCTCCCCTGTGGCACCCGTGCTATTCCATGGCTTCCTGCAAGAGGCTTGAAGTGCACTTCAGAACAAGGCCGGGTGTAAACAGACACACACGCACACACGTGCACAGCAGGCCCTGCCCGGCGTCAGTAACGTGAATACAGCACAGCCACAATGTCAGGCTCACCTCTCAGTCGAGGAAACTGAGACCTGGAGAAGCAAAGTGATTTGGGGGGCGTCTGCTGGCTGGTTGCACCCCACCTTTTTCCAGAGAGGGTAAGAGATGGACAGGACAGACTGACCCCAAAGATGGCTCTCCAGCCAGCTTTAGGGCTCAGAGCAGGGTCTGCCAGTCACACGAGTGGCCAAGCCTCCCACCGTCCCTCTAGCCCCAGGCAGGTCCCACAGCCACGGCCTCCCACACAGGCCCTTGGGCAAGGAGTCGGCCCAGCCTCCGCAGGGTCTGGCCGAACACTAGGCAGCATGGAGGATGCTCAGTTGGGTCTGAGCTCAGGGCAGAACAAGTCAGAGCCAGGCCGGGTTTGAGAGTTAGGGATGGGCCGCAATGTGAGGTCCCAGGGCTGTGGCAGGAATGGGGCAGGTGGAAGATGGGCTGGGAGCAGGTACTGAGGACCTGAGGCCACAGGCACCTTCTGGCCTCAAGTGGGGGTCTCATCAGCCCCAGAGCGGCATGCAGGGGCAGGGCCCAGAGGACTTCCTAGAACCTTCTGGAACCTTCTGGAATTGTGGAGGAAGAGCACAAGAAGGCACTGGAAAGCGGTCATCCAACCCCCTTGCAGTGCAGATGAGGCCAGAGGGAGGGACAGGACACAGCCAGGTCACCAGCAGGTAGCCAGGGCCTCACCTCCAGGCCTTCCCCTCTCTTCGACCGGGAGCCCCGGGCCTCCCCCAGTCCTGGGATGCTGCCAACAGACCTGCTCCATCCAAGCTCTGGGGCCCCAGCAAGCTCTCCGGCCCTGGGTCCCAGGCTGCCAACCACCCCAGGGCCCCACCGTCAGCTCCCGGGAGGGTGCCCGGCCGGGGTGTGTCACGTGAAGAGGGATGGAGACCCTCTGTGTCAAGGACACCTCTAAGCCCAGACCGCTGAGGCCGCAGCCGCCAACCCACCTGCAGGGCGTCCACCCTTCAGCCGAGCCAAGCTGGAGTCGAGAGAGGTCGGGTCAGAGGGGAGGTTTGGAAAGAAGAAATCACTCTTGAAGCAAAAAAAAAGGGTGAGCACATTTGGGGGACGGCCCGGGTACCCGTGGGAGGACCTGCTTATCCCAGGAAGGGAAACCGATGGGCCAGCGGCCAGGGGACGGGTGGATTCGGGGACCCGGGGACTGCCTGCCCATGGCCCCAGTCCTCACTCTGCCCAGCCGCAGACACGCCCTACCTCGCTCACAGCTGCCTGCCAGCGTGCAAAAGGGCACGATGAAATATCTTGAAGTCCGCCCGAAACAAGTTTTCAATTAGTCCACACTGCACGCAGGTACTCATTTCACAAAGGTTTATTGGGCTCCTCCGGGGTGCTGGGTGCAGGTTAGTCACTGCAGAGGATCCCAGCCGGGCCTGAGTAGCAGCCGACACAGAAACTAGTGGTGAAACATGCCCGGGCTGAGGACGCGGCTGTGACGAAGGGAGAGGGCACAGGAGGGCGAGGAGGGAGGGCTCAGCTCCCCCAGTGGGGACGGGGCAGGCTGGACCCAGGTGGAGGTGAAGGCAGAGGAAGAGAAAAAATGGGTGTCGCCAGGGGAGGGAGGAGGGTAGAGGCAACAGCATGAGAGGAGGCTCAGAGGCAGGACAGGGCCTGGGATCTCCCAGAGCATCAGGAGGCCAGTGGAGGGGGCAGGGGAGACAGAGAGTCAGTAGCCAAGGAGGGCTGGGGCCCAGAAGCCAGGTCACTATGACGCTGGGCAAGGACACAGCCAAGGACACAGCCGTCACTCTGCGACCCTCTTCGGCAGGTGTGCCGGCGGCTGCCCCTTCTCCTCCCTAAAGCTCCAGGAGGCCCTCTGTAGGGTGGCCGGACCCGCCCCATGGTAAGTCTCAGCGTCAACCTCCCTGGCGCTGGGAGCTGCTCTACCCATAGGGAGACAGAGGCCGTGCCCACCGCACTCCCACCCACCAAGCCCCACACGGGGCAGTGTGGCAGAGGGGTCGGAGACAAGCCTTCCCTGTGTGGGTACCCAGCCCCCGGAGTACAGTCTGGGAAGAGGGGAGGCCCTCCCCACCCCGCCCCGGATGTTCCAGGGCCCCAGCTGCCTGCCCCTCCCCCTAGCCCGTGTCCAAGTTGCTCCTGGACACCAAATGGACCCCGTCCAACTTGTCTTTCCCTTTCTTTCCCCTGCCCGCCCCCTGCTGGAGCTGCTGGAGGGCAGGCAGGAAGGAGGCCAGCCTGCCCAGCCCAGTGGCGTGGGCACAGCCCCAGCTCCAACTCTGGTCCCCCTGGGCCCGAGGCTCAGTGCTCCCAGAGTCCCAGGTAGGACTTGGCCTTGGGCCAGGACAGGTCAGGGCAGGATGGGCAGCTGGTAGGAAGGGCCCTGGGGAGGTGGGGAAGGGGGCAAGGGCTGCCTGGGAGGACAGAGGGAGGGAGGAGTGGGGCGGAGGTACAGAGCACTGGAGTGAGTCACCACACCAGGGTCTGTGTCCCAAAGGCCAGTATCACCTGGACCTTGGGCCTGTCCTCACCTGCACTAGCGTCTGTGGGAGCCAGATGGTCCTGAGCACCTTGTCCGATGTCCTGGAATCCCAAGGTGTGAGGTGTAGCCTGCCAGCCCAAGGAACAGAAGCACATCCACCGGAACAGCTGACAGCCCTGAGGGCAAAGCACTGCTGCCCTGAGCCTCCCTGGGGCCAGAGGGCTTGTGGGTTGGTGGTCTCGCTGGATGCCCACAGAGGGTCCAGAGGGACCAGTCTTGCCTCTGCGCCAGCCCACGTCTTCCCCACGCACCACCACCACCGCCACATCCCAGGCAGCTCCGAAGGCTCTCCAAGCCCGTGGTGGCTTTTTAATTTTCTGAGGCTAAATGTGGAAAGGGGGTAGGGGGTACTGCCCCATGCCCCTAGCCCAGTTCCTGTGTGGGTAGGGGCAGGGCACAGGTCCGAGACTGGCACCCCGAAGAAATCAAGGAAGCAGGGCTGGAGGGTCTGTGCAACAAAAGTTGGGGCTTCCTCGGCCCCTGCCCGGGAAGGGGCAACCTCGGGCCCCCAAAACGCCTCTCAGAGACCAGCCAAGTAGAAGACTTCTCTCCCTATTCCCCCCCGCCTCCCCCGCAAAAAATAAGGCAAGGAACCGATTTGCCAACTCAGAGGTGCCCTGCGGGGGTGGGGAGCAGGCAGGGGGGACGCCACCCCCCCAGCCAGGTTTGGATCGGGGAGAATTCCCTAACCCACCTGAAGAACCCCCCTTACCCACGGTGGTGAGGGGCGGTGCGGGGCCGCTGAGAAGAGCGGGGAGGAGGCTGCCTTTCCTCTGGGTGGGAAGTTCCCCGGCTGCGCAGCCCCCAACGCCGCCACCCCAGGCAGCAGAGAAATCTCCTGGCTGGAAGAAAGAGCAAAGGGTCTACCTTCACGCCCCGGCCTTCCTTCCACTCGGGTCTTGACCTGCTGGAGCCACGGTCCCAGGTGGGAGCTCGCGGGTCAGAGGGTCCCGCCAAGGCCGCGAAAACCGGAGGAGAGGACCCCTGCCCAAGATGGGCATCTCCCCCCGCGCCCGCTGGGGCCCGGTGAGTCCTAGGTTGGGGGCTCCTTGCCCCGAGGTTGACTCCTCCGGACTTGTGTCCTCGCCGCCGCCGCCGAGAGCGGTGCCCTCGCCGGGTACGGCCCAGCGAGCTCCCACCTCCGCCCGGGGCGCGAGCGCTGTCTCCGTCCCGGGAAGAAGTTAGGCGGCCGGTCCCCGGGGCGGGTGGCGCACGGGACGCAGGCGGCAGTGGCGCCGGACTCGGGCTCAGCCACCGCCGCCCCAGGCGAGTCCCCGCGACCGCGAGGGCGTCCCGTGAGGCTCGACTCCCCAGGGGTCCAAATCGCTCGCGACCGAGTCCAGGCCTCGCCCCGGGGGGCAAGGCGGGCCGAGGCTCGGCGGGCCTGGCTCCCGGCTTCGGGGACCCCAGGTCAAGGTACTCCCCGCCCCGCCGCCCCAAGTCGCCGACCCCGCGCCGCGCGCAGCGAGTCATCAGCAGATCTCGGACACGGCGGCAGGGCCGACCCCGGCCCCACGGAGTTGGGGAGTTGCCCCGCACCCTAAAAGCCTCCACACACATTCCCCGTTGAGAGTACGCACTTCCCGCGTCCCGGCGCCTCCGCAGTGAGTCGAGCCGCAGCGCTCCGGGTCGGCGAAGGTGGCTCAGCGCGGGCGCTCCAGTCTCGACGTTCCCGGGGCAGAGAGCAACGTCCGGGGACGCACGGGACGGGTGCGCCCGGCGGCCGGGTTTGCGCCGGGCGAGGCGAGCGGCAAGAGGGGAGCGCTCCGGCGTTCAGGCAACAGCTACCCCTAGTGGGAGAGCCGCCCGGGGCCGCCGCCGCCCCGCGCCCGCCGCCCAGCGCCCCGCGCCCGCCGCATCCCGCGCCCGGAGCGCTCCCGGCTCAGCTGGGGCGCAGGGACGGTGCTGCCTTCCCCGGCCCTCTGCGTCTCCGGCGCCGGGCGGTAACGGGCCCGCCGGCTCTGCCCTCCGCACCTCCCCGCCGGGCCCCGGAGGCCGCTGACCCGAGAACTGCGGCGCCGAGCCGGGGCGCGATGGGACGGGGCGGGCGCGGCCGGGGCGGCGCTCGGCGGCCTCGGGCGGCTGCGGGGGTCGCAGAGCGCGGTGTGCGTGGCGGGGCGATGCGGGGGGCGGCCGTGTGCGAGGCGCGAGTGTGAGCGCGCGCGGGAGGCGGGCGGGCTCCGGAAGGCGAGCGGCACCCGCGGGCGAACGCGGCAGGCGGCGGGGGCCCAAAGTTGCCTCCTCGCGGGCCCGCGTCCCTGGCGGGGCGGGAGCCAGGGCCGGCGAAGCGGCGGCCGCGGACCCGGCCTCCCGCGGCACCTGGGCAGCGGCCCCGCACGAGCAGCAGCGGCGGGGGCGGCGTTGGCGGCGGCGCGCGGGAAGCGAACCGGAGCTCCGGCGCAGCGCGGCGGCCGCCGGGGAGCTCGGCTCAGGTGCGCGGCGAGGGGGGCGCGGGCCGGAGCTGGGCCGCCGGGACCGGGACGGCGCGGCGCTCGCGCTCGCCGGAGGACCTCCGCCGCGGACCGGGTCCCAGCTTCAGCTGCCCGTCCCGGGCGCCCGCTGAGGTCCGGGTTACCCGCCCCCGCGAGCGGGCTTCGGGGCCCGGCCCCGCCCCCGCCGGCCCCCGGCCGGGCCGCCCCGCCCTCCGGCCGCCGGTGCCAGCGCTCGGCCCGCGATTTCTAAGGCACTGGCCGCGCCGCCGGGCGATCCCTCCGGGCTCCAGTTGCAAGGGGGCGGACCCGGGCCGGAGGTGGAGTCTCCCGCCAATTGAAGCCTCGGCTATAAATTGAGCTCCCCGCAGAGCCCAAGCCCAGATGCCTCGCCAAGCCACCCCGCGTTTGGTGGTGGGGGAAGGTAGAGGGTCCCAGGGGGCTCTGGGGGGCGCCGCCACCATGCTCCGCTCCCTGCTGCTTCACTCCCTGAGGCTCTGCGCCCAGACCGCCTCGTGCCTCGTGCTCTTCCCGCGCTTCCTCGGCACGGCCTTCATGCTCTGGCTGCTCGACTTCCTGTGCATCCGCAAGCATTTACTGGGCCGCCGACGCCGGGGTCAGCCCCAGACTGAAGTGGAGCTCAACAGCGATGGCGAGGAGATGCCCCCCGACGACCCGCCTATCTGCGTGTCCGACGACAACCGCCTGTGCACCCTGGCGTCGCTGAGGGCAGTGTGGCACGGCCAGAAGTTGGATTTCTTCAAGCAGGCACACGAAGGCGGTCCGGCGCCCAACTCCGAGGTGGTCCTGCCCGACGGCTTCCAGAACCAGCACATCCTCGACTACGCCCGAGGAAACCGCCCGCTGGTGCTCAATTTCGGCAGCTGCACCTGACCACCGTTCATGGCGCGTATGAGCGCCTTCCAGCGCCTGGTCACCAAGTATCAGCGCGACGTGGACTTCCTCATCATCTACATTGAGGAAGCACACCCTTCGGACGGCTGGGTCACCACGGACTCTCCCTACAGCATCCCGCAGCACCGCAGCCTGGAGGACCGGGTCAGCGCAGCGCGGGTACTGCAGCAAGGTGCTCCCGAATGCTCTCTCGTCCTCGACACCATGGCCAACTCTAGCAGCTCCGCCTACGGCGCCTACTTCGAGCGCCTCTATGTCATCCAGAGTGGCACCATTATGTACCAGGGCGGCCGTGGCCCTGATGGCTACCAGGTCTCCGAGCTGCGCACCTGGCTGGAGTGCTACGATGAGCAGCTGCATGGCCCTCAGACCCGTCGAGTGTAAACAGCCAATGGACAATTGACTGAACTTGGCGGGCTATGCCTTCGAGCCTTCGAAGCCCACGTGCAAACGCACCCAAACAAAGGCAGGCTTGGTGAGGGCCCAGTGACACAGCTGTGCTGAGCCATGGATCTGAGGCTGAGTCTGCGCTCTCAGCCAAGCCACCTGAAGACTCTCCTCCGCCCCGCCCCCCGCCCCCAGACTCTGCCTTTGTGACTGCCCTTGCCTGTACTTGCCTGGCTCGCTCTAAATCCCCTTCTGAGTGCGGAGGCAGCGCCACCCTTGCCTGTGTGCCCCTGGACTTGTCCTCGCAGAGGCCCCTGCCACGCGATCTCACACGCCCTCCTCAGAAGAGAATAGCCAGTGTGCCTTTAGCCAGGCGCAGTGGCCCCGCGCGAAGAGACTGGCTGCGCCCGCGCGCCCTGAGCGCAGCTGGGTTCCAGCAGCGCGAGCCGCTCGCCTTAGTTGCCTGGCACCCACACCTGTCGCGCACGGGGAAGGGATGCCCTGCTGCTTTTGTGTCTATTTCTTGTCCCCGAGTTGGGGGAGGAGGTTTGGGGTGGGGAGGGGTGGGCAGGGTTATTTCCCCTCCCTTTATTTTCGGTGCTCACGAGCCCCGCTGCTGATGACGAACTGTCTCTAACTGGTCTTGACCACGAGCTGGTTCTGAATTGCAGGAGGCCCGCAGTAGCGCCTAAAACGAGAGGGGAAAGTGCTCTGGGTTTCCATGTGGAAACCGCGTCGACGGGGTGGGAGAGGGAGGTTGGGGAACTGCTTCGGGACAGAGGAATACGGCTTGGGAGGCATTGGCGAGGTTCGCAGCGCCCCAGGGAGAAGGAAGGGGCTGGGGCTCCTGGCACACGGGGTTTGAGTGGTGGAGTCTGGGGGGGAGAGCCTGGGAACCCCGAACGAGGGGTCTCCCAGGCAAAGCTGCCGACTGCGGGGCCAGAAAACGGGGGGTCCCTGATCCGAAGGCCATTTAGTGAGTGTTTTACTGGAAATATTCCCTGTATATAAACTTCTTTTTACACTACAACAATAAAGGCTTGAAGTAAATTGCTTTCGGGTTGCCTTCGGTCCCTTTATTTTTTCTTCCCTCTGAATAGCGGTAGTAATTAAACACAAATCTCTCCTCTCCCTCGCGCCCCCATAGTGACCCTGGGGGGAAGGGTGGAGAGAAGGAGCCTACGCTAGCGGGGGCGCTGGAGGGGAAGGAAGAAGGAAAGGGGTCCGTGGCGGTGCCCGGGAGGCGCACAGGCACGCACGCAACCGCGGTGGGGAACGTGAGGTCGCGAGGAGAGCTAAGAAGTCGAGCCCGGCTGGGTCCTGGAAGGAGGCGGGAGAGGCAGCGGGGCCCGCACTTGCCACCGCGCGCGCGCACACACGCACGCAGTTACAGCTGACCCTGCAGCCTCCCATCTAACTTCCCCCAGCGACAGTCGATGGGGGGAGGGGACGGTGTGGGGGAGGGCCGGGGGACTTTGGACCCGGTAGGTCTGGGCTCACGCCCACCGCGGGCACCTCTGCGCACCTGGATCCTCCCTAACCCCCTTCTAGCACCTCCCTACTCCCTCGCGCCCTTCTCGAACCTACAAGATTGTCTCCCCCACCCCCCAATCTCCGCCTGGCTGCTGGGGTCCCCGGGAGGCGCTACTAGAATAGCGCAAGGTGGCGGAGGGAGGGGCGACGGGGGAGGGAGAGCGGGCCTGCAGCGCCATCGCTCTAGCAGCAGCTCCTACTGCGGGGCGGGGGTGGCGCCGCGTGCGCCCCCTGCCCAGGACACACCCCCCTCTTGCCCCTCCGCCGCTTCCCCAAGTTCAAGCCAAACCTCGTCACCACCCCCAACGCGCTCGGGTCTGGGAAGCTGAGGAGAGCGTGGTGGCTGAGCTGAGGGAGACCAGAAAGAGAGGGATGGTGGTGGCCGGGACCGGGGCTGGGAGAGGAGGGGGTCGTGGCTTTGGGCATAGACCCCCGCCCGCTGCCCAGGCCAGGCGCTCTGCCGCAGTCCCCGCTCTCACAATCTCCCCTGTTGCTCCCCAGGTGAGGAAGACTCCGGGAGAGCGAGATTAGCTCGGCCCCCTCCCTCTGCTATTGACCCCTTGAGCAGAAAAGTGGGTCGGGGGAGACAGAGGAAGGAGCGCTGAGGAGGGAGTCCGTGGACCGGGAGTCGGGGTAGGCGAGCAGCCTAACCTCCCCGGCCAGAGAACCCAGGACCATCCCAGTCCCGGGAAGGGGCGGGGGGCGGTGTCGGTGAGCGCCTGGGTGTGAGCGCTCGCGCTTGAAGCTGGGGCGTGGGGTAGTGGGGGTCTGCGGGGATGAGTGGAGGAGAAAGGCCCCTGCTCCACCAACGCCGCCTCCAATTTCCCGCCCAGCCCCCACGCCGCTCCTCCGTGAAACTTTTTGGAACTGACACCCTGAGCTGGGGAATTTTTTTTTTTTTTTGCTTTAAAAGTATTTAAATTGAAAAAAAATTACTTTTAAGAAAAACTTGGCACAGATGGTATTTCTGCGTCTCCTCCCATCCCCCTCCTCCCGCGCGCTTCTTCTCACCCCAAAACCCCCAAGAAGAATACTGAGCAAGCGGCGGGGAAGCGCCCGGACGCCGGGGAGGACCCGCCCAGAGCTCTTGCGCGCGCGGCCCGGCGGTGGGGGGGGGGCGCTTGGTGGCCGGGAGGAAGCGGAGGGAAGCCCGGGACGGCGGGGCGCCGCCGCGGGGTTCCCACTGCGTGCTCGGGCAGCTCCTCGACCCGGTCCTCCACTTGGGGGACTAGTTGGACGCGCTGAGCGCCCTGCCCTCCCCGTGGAGGCTGCGCCCCCTGAGCCTCCTCGGGCTTCCCGGACCGAAACTCGGAGCGCTCGGCGCCGGGACCTGCGGCTCCTGCCGCAGCCTGCGCGGCCCGGTGCGCTCACCGCTCCAGGGGCGCCCCGGCCACCCCCTCTTCTTTCTCTTCTCCGGCCTCTGTCTCCCTTCCTCCCCTTCATCAGTCCGTTGCCTTCTCGCTCTTCCTTTTCCCTCCTTT